CAGCAGTGGGAGGAGCCACTGTGTGAGCGTCACCAACAGCGGGATCCATCCCTCTCACTGAGGCTCCTGGAAGCAGGGCTGCATCTACTTACTCATGGATGGAGGGAGATTTCTTGAAGGTGGTGGATGCGGAGAAAGGAAGGGGCGATGGAAGGGAGGGGCGAAAAGGGAGGGGATACGGCAGGCTGAGACAAAAGAGAGGGGCGCCGCAATAGGAGGGGGCGGCTACAAACGCCGACAAATAGTGTGAAGAGATTGGGAGGAATAGGAAAGAGATCGGGAGGAACAGGAATAGAGTCAAGAGATCAGGAGGCAAGAAAGTGAGATCTATGGACAAGGGAGATCAGATGGAAAGAGAGAAGAGAGAGGTATGACGGGATCGGAGGGACGAAACACCAATCACCGGCATGTCGCCACTGTCGTCGCCATAGGCAAGTCATGCATGCCTCTTCGCGGACGTCGGTCAGAGCTTACTTCGCCCGTAGTGAGCTCGGCTATGCAACGGCTCTTGCCGTTGGCGCGTTGCTTCAGCGTGTGGAGGAAGACTCTTATGACGTGTTTGGTAGTAGGGCCGCAAGAAAATCTTGATGCTCGTGAGCCACTCGAAATTGACTCAAATTTTAGCTCGACTCGAGATTGACTAAAATATAAACAAGCAGAGTTTGAGCATTTTATGTAACTCGACTGAGAAACGAGCCGATCCCGAGCCAATACTAGCTCGCTCGATTTTAGCTCGATAATTCGACATGATATCATTATATTAAATGATCATACCATATATTAAATGGAAATAAGATAATTTATTACCAGATATGTTGTCCATAATTTTCTCCAGTTTATTTATGAGCAAATATGAAAGTTTAATTAAGTGCAAAGAAGATTTAGGCCTTATTTATTTCAAAATAGTTTTAGGTCTTATATTATGGTCTTTGGCCAATAATTTGTTTTCCCAATTATATGTCTATCGCGAATCATTATCTTATTTGGTACTAAACTTTTGGGTCTGAAAGAATACGTCAAAATACTTTGAAGAAATTTATATTATCATCATCTTGATTGGTGCAATATTTTTTTAGTGCTTTCTCATGTCGTGTTGAGCCTTATCTAGTTGGGATATTCACCATAGATTTATGATTTTTACCATCTCATTTAGCTCAAAAATAGGTCGAGATCGACTCGAGATCGTTACAAGCTGAGCATGAGTCATGTTCTACAGCTCGGCTTTGAGCTTCACTCAGTTTAAGCTCGCTCGAATTTTCATATGAGTTGAGCTGAGCCAACTCCAACTCACTTGAACTCGACTCGTTTGCAGCCCTATTTGGTAGCCCGCATACACCTCAACCAGGCTGAGTTGGGCCAAGAAAAATGTGTTTGGTTGCATACGGGGTGGGCTGGCTCGCATGTGCAAGAAAATTAAAGGTGCCCAGAGCCTGGCTCATTGAAAACCCTTGAATCAGCAGTTTCCAGCTAGCCAGGCTGAGCGCCGCGTAAAGTAGAGACGGCGCTATGGCGCCGGTGCAAGGGGAAATTGAGTGGAGATGGCGAGAGATGGAAATTGGGCATGACGGGATGGTGCCAATTCTAGCCTCAACCCCCCCTCTATTTATTCGGTCACCACTAGTTCTAGGACAAGCACTCTCTCTATTCTTAGCACCGGTGGCGATAGAGGCGGCGAATGTGACAACAGCAATCTCTGACGGCAGGAGTTGCCGCTCCCCTTACTTTTGGTCGGTCATCCTTGACTCAGCCATGGCTACCCCTTCGTCATCCTCGTCTCCGATGCCAGTAAGCAACACCCGCCCCCCTGTGTTAGGTCAGCTTTTAGGCCGGTAGGCAAGGTGTACGATCGGTTTCCCCATTTCTCAACGCACCCTTATTGTCGACTAGGTTATGGACGATGGGCGAAGCTGGTAGTTCAGGCAGCAACACTCATAGTTGTGATTCGGGCATGGCTCATGTTCATGCATTAGAGAGTTGTTCCTCATGGTGAGAGGCCTGTCATCACTTATGATCCAATGCTTATAAGGGATCAAGCAAGGATAGCGAATCTGAACTACATTTACAACTGCGACAACACAGAGGCTCTGTGGATGCTTCGAATGGAAAGAGCGCCATTTTCCAGGCTTGTCCAAACCTTCGGGAGTAGGGGGCTGCTACAGGATAGCATCCACACCAGTGTGGGAAAGCAAGTGGCCATGTCCTCCATGTTGTTGGCCATAACCAAAGGTTTAGGGTTATGCACAATACCTTCAGGAGATCAATGGAGACAATCTCCAAGCACTTCAGGCAAGTGCTCTATGCTGTTGGGGAGCTCAAAGCAGAGATGATCAGGTCACCAACCGACCGGACTCCTACCAAAATTCGCACTAGCCCAAGATGAACCCATACTTCAAAGTGAGCACTAACAGTATTTTGTCCATGGCTTGATATGCTTGTATTGTTCAGCTATAGCCATAACACAATCTTGTATTGCCATTTTAGGATTACATTGCCATTTTAGGATTGCATTGGGGCAATAGATGGTACTCACGTCACTGCCAGAGTGTCGAGGTCACAATCTGCAGTATACAAGGGGAGGAAGCACTACACAAGCTAGAATATCCTTGCTGATTGTGATGGCTGGCTGGGAAGGGTCAGCACATGATGCTAACATTCTCAGTGACAACATGAGTCATTTTGAGGGCATCAACATCCCCAGTGGCAAGTTCTACCTAGGAGATGGTGGCTATGCATGTCGGCCAGGTGTTCTTCCACCCTTCAGGAAAACCAAGTACCATCTGAACGAGTTCGTTGGTAGTAACTATCCTAGGACTCCACAGGAGTTTCTCACACACTCCATCCTTAGAGTTACTGTTGAGAGGGCCTTTGGAGCTCTGAAGAACATGTTTAAGATCCTAGATCACAAGCCATTCAACACTTTCCCCACTTAGGTTAAGCTTATTCTTACTTGTTGCATTCTGCATAACTGGATCATGCAATGGGGTTGTGATGAACTGGTGCCTGAGGAGGAAGATGTGACGCCTGACGATATTGTGAGCTCCGGCCATGGTGTGGAGGCATTTGACAACGAAGCCTAGAAAAACAAAAGGACGAAGCCGGGACAGGCAATGTGGGATAACAGAGGCCAGATAAGGATCTGTAGAAGAAGAAGAGCAAGAGCAGCAGCAGAAGAAAAGGAAGAAACAGAGCAACAGAAGAGGAAGAAACAGAGCATCAGAAGAAGAGGAAGAGGATGGACTTCCATCTAGTTAGCATCGATGATGAACTTTCTCCTATTCAGCCATGACTCTTAATAATGTGTACTGCCATTTGATAGTAGTTAGGATGTACCGTAATTTGTTTCGTACCTAGGAGTGAAAAACTATGTTCAGATCATGTGTGTTAAGGTCCCCACTGGTGAGAAGTGATGAGAGCACCTTATACAGATTGCAACCAAATAGCTTGTCATATGTGCATCCAATGCCACGCGGCCAACCAAAAGACGGGTTAAAATTAGTTCCGCCATCCAGCCAGCTTAAATGCGGGCAACCAAACTAGGCCGAAATCACTATTCTGACCTTTTCAGCAATCTTTGTCACAAAGTGAACTCGACATGAAAGTATTTCATGATCTGACCTTTTTAGCAACGCCACAGCCCGTAGCGTTTCTTCTCCATATAAAAACGCCGAGGTAGCTCGCGTTTTAGACCCACAGACGAACGCCAAGTCAGTTCTCATTTATACCAGCCATGAGGACAAGCACAGCACAGGGAGAGTGCTGCTGGAGAGATGACGAGTCATCAATGATGATGCAGGTACTCTGATTCTGGCCCAAGGCGGTTCACACTGTTCACACGAAAAGATGCAAACACCGTGGTAGGTGTTGTCAGGATCAGCATTATTACTGCAGTGTTGTCAGGATGCAGGTACTCTGATTACCCCAGTGTTTACCGTGGTAGGTGCTACAGAGTGAGCAGTAAGATTACTTCACCTGGAGCCGGCGGGAGTTTATGCTACAAACGCCAATGATCGTGGCGTTTCGGCCTGGGCGGCAACGCCAATGCGCTTGGCGTTTCAATGTGGATCGGAAGCGCTAGCTAGCTTGGCGTTTGTATGTGGGTCTGAAACGCGAGCTACTTCGGCGTTTTTATATCGAGAAGAAACGCCACGGGCTGTGGCGTTATTAAAAGGGTCAGATTGTGAAATACTTTCATGTCAAGTTCATTTTGTGACAAAGATTGTTGAAAAGGTCAGAATAGTGATTTCGTCCACCAAACTATGTACAGATCGTGATTTTTGATTTGTTTCTCCTCAGCCATGACCATCAAAGAAGTACATGCAATATGCAACGCAGATAAATCGATGCAAGGAACCAAACACGCTCTTAAGCCTTTTGTTTTCTCCATTCATCCCTTGGCCGTGGCCGTGGGCTTTGCATGAATGGAGAAAATAAAAAGCATGAGAGTTACGTGCAATGGTCAAACTTGAATGGCACGGCCGGAAATCGTTGGAACAGTCAATTTCCTATTTCACTCACCTGGATACGCAAAGGAACCTTCCACCGTGATTGACAGGCGTACCAACCGAAATGTGCACGTCACTGCGGAAGCACAAACCAACTGCTGAGCTGATCTTCGCGAATCGAGGTACGTAGATGATTTCGAATGGACAAGGCACGCCCTGACCCTCAGTCTGCCGACCGACCACGCAACCGGAACTGGCCACCATCCCCACTCCAGATAGATGGCTTTTCAAGCTTCGATTCTTCGGCGTGAGTCACTCCAATTCTTCTTCTTCCCGCTGCCACATCGCCACGTCCAGAACAGTCTTCCCGACGGACAGGGACACCCCAGCGCCCACACGTGTTCACCTCGCTGACACTGGACACGACGCACAACCATCCTATTTAAGCGCCAGGCGAGGCCACGCTGAAATAATACAAAAACCCACTACAGAATACTACCAGCAGTTCTTCGTTGCAGCATCATCACACAGATTTAAGGTTCAATCTCCAGACAGAAAATGGTACGCAATGTTACATTTACTTATGACCTGCCTCTCCTGGTCCTCTTCTTCTTAATCAGTTCACGCTAGCTAATTCGTTGTGGATTTGTGAATAACTTGGGTGTATTTTTCATGCAGGCGAACGCGGTGTCGGGCGTGGCGGTGAGCGAGGAGTGCGTGAGGGCGTTCCAGGAGCTGCGCGCGGGGCGCGCGCACCGGTTCGTGGTGTACAAGATGGACGACGCCGTGCAGCAGGTGGTGGTGGACAAGGTGGGCGGCCGCGACGCCGGCTTCGACGACCTGGCCGCGGCACTCCCCGCCGACGACTGCCGCTACGCCGTCTACGACCTCGACTTCACCGTCGGCGACGCCACCGCCAAAGGCGCGGACGGGGAGGCGCCGCGCAGCAAGATCTTCTTCATCTCCTGGTACGTTTCTCTTAAATAACACTCGTGGTCCTGTGTATCAGCATATGTGACCAAATGTGTGGGCTGCACGATGACATGTTGGTGTTGGTTGGTTATGTAAAAGGTCGCCGGCGAGTGCGGAGGTGAAGAGCAAGATGATCTACGCCAGCTCCAACGAGGGGTTCAAGAAGGAGCTGGACGGCACGCAGATCGACGTGCAGGCCACCGACCCCAGCGAGCTCACGCTCGACATCCTCAAGGACCACGCCACCTAACCAATCAATCAAGCCCCTATGTATGATTGACGGTTCACGCGTGCACGTTACGTGCGTGTGCTAGCTTTGTGCTGTGCATGTATCTTTGCCCTCTTCGATTGTGTTGTGTGCTTCCAATTGGATCGTGTCGTCGACCCCAAGAGAATGATGATGATTTTCCATTGTACCACTACGTGGTGTGCGAATAATTGACTCTTTCCTCAAGTGTAACACGTAATGGCAACGATTAGTTGAGGACATGTTCATGTTACAATGGGGATCTTTGCTTCTCCTCGAAAAGGACAAATGGGATTGCCCTGGTTTTATGTCATGGCAAAAAAGAAACGATTGAATTCGATTAATCTTCTGACATAAAACATTTGGATTTAGCATAGTCAATTTTGTGTACCTTGGGCTCATACATTCACATGTCAATGAATAGTAACACGAAAAGTTAAAATCTTCTGGAAAAAAAATCTTGAGATAAAACATCCGAGTTTAGTATAGTCAACTTTATGTACCTTATGTCAGGGAATAGTGACATGAAAAGTAAAAATCTGACATAAAACATCTGGGTTCACTATAGTCAACTCTATATACCTTGCGCTTGCGTTCACACATTGAGATGTTAATGAATAGTAACATGAAAAGTTAAAATCTTCATCCATTTATGCATTGAGATGTCAGTAAATAGTAACATGAAAAGTTAAAATCTTCCTGTGGTATGTTGATGTAAAACATTAGGGTTCAGCATAGTCAACTTTATATACCCTGTGCTTGCGTTCACACAGATCGGTTCGAACCTTTGCATGCCGAAACATCTGGGTTCAGCATAGTCAGCTTTATATACCTTGCGCTTGCGTTCACGCATTGAGATGTTAGTGAACAGTAACATGAAACGGCTCAGCATAGTCAAACTTCATGTACTTTGCGCTTGCGTTCACACATTGAAATGTCAGTGAATAGTAACATGAAAAGTTAAAATCTTTGTGTGGCATCTTGACATAAAACATCTGGGTTCATGCATTGAGATGTCTGTGAATAGTAAAATGAAAAGTTAAAATCTTTGTGTGGTATCTTGACCTAAAATATCTGAGTTCATGCATTGAGATGTCAGTGAATAATAACATTGTTGAGGAAATCGTTAACTGGTAGCTGCTCGGTTGGCTGGTGAGTAGGGAATTAATCGGCTAATCGGCAAGTTAATCGGCCATTTAATCAATTAACCGGATGATTTATCGGTTTATAGACTACTCGGTGACCGTACGAGTAGGGATTAATCGGCAAGTTAACTGGTTAATCGGATGAATTCTTGAACAGGGAATAATAACATGAAAAGTTAAAATCTTCGTGTGGTATCTTGACATAAAACATCTGGGTTCAGCACAATCAACTTTATGTACCTTGCGCTCACGCATTCATATGTCTCTTTGTTTAGAGGGAAGTTGTGCTAACTAAGAGTACTTAACAAAAAACCTACTGCCTCCAATCCATATTACTTGTCGCTCAAATGGATGTAGTAAAGTGGATTGGAGGGAGTACCACTTTAGGAGGTTTGTGTCCCACTGAACTACCATTTCCAAAACATTAATAAAAAACTACCACTTTAAACTAATTTTGTTCCTAAAAACTACCACTTTTGGATAGTGATTGGTTTAGACGATTTAAACACATTTATGGCAGGCAGGCCCCACCCGTTGGGCTGGCATGGCAGGAAAGACAACTCCATTTATTTTGACTGTTAAGTTTAGCGTTATGATAGGTGGGGTCTACACATCAGCATCAACCTCCTTCCTCCTTTCTCTGTTTCACATTTCAACAAGCACCTTGAATATTGTGCTAACCAGAGATAATCTTGTCCATCGCAATTGAAACTTGTGCTAACCAAAGATAATCTTGTCCGAAGTGTAGTTTTTGTACACACAACGAGACAATCAAGCACCTCCTTTTTCATGCAAGTTTGCACGTGCTGAGTGGTCATTCATCGAAACAGCGTCCAATGTGTATCCGCCCATAAATGTTAATAAGGTGGGAGCGTATGTTTTATTATGGTCGGTTTGACTCAATTGATTTAGTTTTTAGGAGAAAAACTCTTCTTCTTTACAGGTTATTTTCCGTTGTACAAGTTTGTTTCATACGTGGTCTACGCTGCACTGAGCGGAGTACCTACTGTTCTTCAAGGCGGTGTGTACGGGGCTAGAGCGGGTGACCACAGAGGTGTTTACTCAATATGAGTGGCAGCATGATCTATGGATCGGTCCACCATCTCTTCAACATAAGCATAGTTCGGTCATGTACAACTCTAATGTTGCCAATATGTTGATTTTTTATTTTCCTTGTTAGCCAGTTGATGGTTGACTGTTTGCCTCTTAATTATGCGGAGACATGCTTAATATCTGCTTGCAATGTTTTAAGTTAATAAAAATGTCTTTTATCAAAAAATTCTCACCTTCTATGATCGTGCCTGGACGTGCCAATTCATCAAATAATGACACAGTTGATTGTTCTTTCTAGAAAAAACAAAAAAAGCAATCGAGTCGGTGAATTTGATTGATTGGCATGAGTTGTTTTCTTGAGAGAAGGGCGCGAAAGAGACTAAGCAATACATCTATACGTCAACACTCCCCTCGCGTGTGGTTCCCTCAGCCCTAAACGTGGACCGAAAGTGGGCTGCAATTTAATTGCGACAGTCGAGTCTTGAACTCAAGACCTCCTGTCTCTGATATCATGTAGAAGTGCATGCTCTAGCCAATGCAACCAAAAGACCGATCTGATGAAAGAGACTAAGCAATACATTTATACCTCAACACTAACTCGCTTGAAGTCGCCATGGCGTGGCGCCTGGGCGGAGACTACATAGGCGATTGAGAAGGCATTGGAGGACTGTTGTGGACGGGGAAGGAGATGGGAGCTCGAGTGGAGGTCTTCATCATGTGGTGGTCAACGACGTCAGTGGGGTAGTTGGCGATGGCCAGAGAGATATAGTGAATTGATCTTCAACTATGGTCTGGCCTCGCTAGGCCACCGAAGAAGTGGGTGTCGGTGCATACTCCTAAACGACGACAACCTCGATCTCACATCTGAATCTGGTGTGTTGCAGCATGGGCAATAGTGTCAGATTTTCTTTAGGAAGTCATTGTGTTTGGTTTGGGATGATGGCATCACCCCATTGTACAAATGCTGGTTTCCCCGCCCTATCCACGTTTCATGGGTGAGCTTATCACTGGCTGGAGCGTGTGAAGATGTGTCTCCGACGGGTCTTACGAGATCTTGTCGGTTTAGATTTTCAGTGGATCCGTGTGGATGCCTTTATTCGTGTTTTATTCTCGGGTTGACGATTTACTTCGCAAATTACGGTCGTAGACGTCTTCTAGTCTGCGTCGACGACTTCTTGGATGCTACTTTTACAAGGTTTTGAGTTTAAAAAAATTTGCTCCATCAAGTAAGAGGCTCAGATGTGGCATCGAACTATGTGCATGGTACGTCAGTATGTACGAAAAAGAAGACTTCAACACTTCCACGATTTTGAATGTAATTTTATTTTTCTTAATGGTGTGTTTGCATGGACCTGTGATATTTGATATATTAATATATTAAATATAATTTCTTAGGCCTTTTTTCAAAAAAAAAAAGATTGATCGACCTGTCAGGTTCATGGGGCGCCACTTTAGTAAGCGGGTGTCGTGGGTCGACGTGGAAAAGAAAATCCAGGCTAGCCATGAGCGGCAGCGTGAGTACGCTTCGCCACTAACGCTCACAGATCCATCGATCATCGATCGGCACGATTAATTTTGTGCTACAGAAATTTTTGGCCAAGAGAACGCCCACGGAGCTGTTCTTAGGAGGAAGAAAATAAAAGATCTCTCTTTCGATCGTGGATGTCTCGCATAAAGTGACACGACCGCAGATGAGCGAATAATTAAAGGATAAGGGCAGCAGCTGGCAGTCGCTGTCGCGCGGCGCCTTTTTTCTTCCTTCCTTCTTTCTATTGAGTGTTTGGTTGGCCTGAGATTTTTCAGCTGCAATCGACAGCTTCTATTCTATTCTCGCGCTCTTCATGGGAGAAGATTCTGCTCTCGATCTAGGCCGCGTGCTGCCTACGCGGTATAAAGACATCTCCAACCCGGAAGCGGCGTTTTCGCACATGAGAGTACGCGCTTTTGGTTTTTAAGATGTGTTTTAAACATATTTTGAAATGTAATTTTAAAAAAAAAGCCCTGGCGCGTACACCTCGAAATGCTCACAAAGTCGTTTCGTGAAAAAACGATAACTCACGTGTCACGTGTGAAAAAGACAAAATTCGGTTTTCAAAAATGTTTTTCAGAAGACACCCTTTTGTCTTTTTACACAAGCTACAAAAAATGTTGGTTTTCTCCAAAACTTGACGTGCACGAATATAATGTCGAGATGTATGCGCTAAATTTTTGTTTGAAATATTTTCATACTTCCAAATTTTTTTACGCGTGCAAGAGCGCGTGCTTCCGGGAGCACCAATGGATTTCCGTCTTCTACTCATTCCAACTCGAACACCCCGCATCCATCCACAAATGGGTGGATCAGTCCGTGGACACAGAAGTAGAAGCCGGTCATCCAACGCTATTTGCATCCATTTTGAACCGAATTTCAACTAATCGGATGATTTTCATCAAACACGACGGAATTCATCAAAGTTCCAATAGAAAATAGTAAAAATCATCCATTAATAAAATGCAAATATGTTTAGTACAATAGTACTTCAAATTCAACGAGATTAACCGGATGTTCAACGCGTTTATCACGGATGGATCATGTTGTCCCACACAAATTGTCTCTTGAGCTTCACAACAATGTATGTGTGTGAATGGTCTGCCCTCTGACATGTAGTACATCACGACAGCGCATGTAGACTACCCAATAAGTGAATGAATCGATAAATAAACATGTAGAGTAAGAGCAAGCAAAATTTATGATCTCCATGATTACGACCCACAATGGCCACATCGCCTTCGGCCAATCAAACACGCCACAATACTTCATGATAT